TTTCATTAATTAGATTAAATGTCTTTTTTTTTTTTTCTTTTTTAATAAACTTGCACTCAGTTTTTCTGAATTCCAAACTTGATGAAATGTGAAGCGGTTTCTTTTGGTTTGAGGATCACACGGATGCATCCGTCGGTCTGACGTCGCAGTGTAAAATAAATAAATAAATAAAATAAAGATTTCTTTGGTTAACGGCACCCAAATCTGATCCCGGTTTAGTTTTAAAGTTCCCTGTGGCTGAAAGTGAGCAATCAGTTGGATCAGTTGTTTGTGTTTTCCTACAAAAGTGGAAAGGAAACACAGAAAAAAAACTCTTTTATTTCCATTTCAAACATAAAGGAATCTGAGAAGCATTTTAAAACCAAACAAAATACCAAAACTCATGATAAACTGCTGCCGCGTGTCCAATTTTTCCAAAAATAAAGATTTATCTGACTCAAATAGGAGTTTAAACTAATGCCTGATTATTGGTTTGAGCTCATTCAGAGACAGATTCTCCACCAGGGAGAATAAATATCTCCATTTTCTGTAAATAGAAGCATCCTAATGCTCTTTAACTACAGAAAACTGCACACAAACGCAGACCAGCTGGAGCCGTTTGCATTCATTTGTACCGTTTTCCTGTGAACGCACCACGAACCTGAGCAGCCAATCAGTTCCTCTGCAGAAACGCTTGACCCCCGTCTTTCTTTTTTAAGGAGTTTTAGAGGAAAATTGCACAGATTTGAAGGAGTTTCCTGTATTCTGTTGCTTTAAAGCCACGCATTTCATTAGACTGACTCTAATAAAAGTCATTAAGAGGCTGACTCAGCAGAATCCACCACAAACTCCGTCCTAATGAGAGGTGTGGGTGTCGTCTATTGCACTTTGGCCCTAAAACGAGCAGCTACTGTGTGTCGGAATCAGAAATACTTTAATAATCCCAGAGGGAAATGATCTATTCAAGTATAAAGATTCATGTCTGTGCTGTGGCGTCCATCTTAATTATTCAGAATTTTCTAACAGAAAAGAGCAAAAACTAAATAATGATCTGACTGACAGCATTTTGGATCAACAAATCCATCAGATTCTCAGCTTTTTTCTCTTCCAATCCGATCCTGGCCTATCAGAGCATGTGTTTAAATTTAAAGTTATTTATTCTACTTATTTAGTTGTCAGACTCATGTTGAACAGGGATTTACTCTGATAACAACTTAATGGTTAGGACACAGACCTGTGGGTTAGCAGATGCTAATGCTAATGCTCGTGTGGGATGGGACTTTAAAATAAAACTGGATCTGGAGTCTGGCTCGACCCTACATGGATGCTGTGGTTTCCATGGTTACGCTGATGCTGGACACGGACCGGACTGCCGTGTTTCAGAGGGCAAACCATAAAACTGATCAAGTAAGCAACTTTCTTTTCCCAAAAATGTAAAAAAAACATAAGAAAAAGATCATTTTTTACATTTGAGCCTCTGGGGGAGGAAGGAAGTTTCGGGTCCGGTTCTGTTTGGCTTTCTGACTCCAATCCAGATATCGGATCGGGACGAAAGAGGACGATTCCCGCCTGTTGATTCAGCAGTTTTTAGCTTGTGTTGAGAAAAGGGAGAGCTCTTTCCCACCTGATTAGATCTAAAGAGGCTCTCCCCTCAGGCCTTTTTTCCTTTTTGTTTTTTTTCCAAATATCTCCGGCCGATCCGATCTGGATCCGGGATCGGATCGGGCCTAGTCCAGCAGGGCGGCCTGAGCTTTCTGAACGGCGGCCTGCAGCATGCGGCGGTTGCTTAGCAACGGCTGCAGGGCGGCCGCATCCATTTCCAGCAGCATCCCTGATAACACACACACACACAGAACAGGCGTTTAGAGCCGGGAAAACAGAGCCCCCCCCCCACATCACAGCCTGTGATGTCATCACCTGTGATGTCATGGGCGTGGCGTGGATCTATGGCCTCCACCAGAGAGAAGAGCTGCTCCCCCAGCCGCTCCAGCTCGTCCGAGGAGTCGCCGGCCTCCGTTTCCTCCACGCTCCGCCTGGAGGGACAGCAGGAGCCAATCAGCTGCCTGACATCCATCCATCCATCCATCCATCCATCCATCCATACATCCATCCATCCATCCATCCATCCATCCTCAACTCAACTTTATTTATAAAGCGCTTTCAGTCAGCCAAAGCTAAAATCAAAGCGCTGTACAGGCCATTTGAGCAGATCATAAAACACAATTATCACCACAACACTAGACAAACTCAAAGATTAAAAACAGTAAGAGCAAAAAAATAAAAAATAACATCCATACATACATACATCCATGCATCTATCCATCCATACATCCATACATCCATCCATCCATCCATCCATCCATCCATCCATCCATACATCCATCCATACATCCATACATACATACATACATACATACATACATACATACATACATACATACATACATACATACATACATACATACATACATACAT